ATTCTATTGATGTGTCCTGATTGCTTATTGCTCGTTCTTAATCTGCTTGAATTCACGTCACAGGAGTGGTCGCCATACCTGACTAACAGCCAGTTTGCCTAAAATATTGTTGATTTGCCGCAAAAACGTGATTTAACCTCGGAACTGCACCTTCGCCCAAGTGCCAAAGTGTCACGTAAAGTTTGATATTTTTATGTTGAGTTTTCAGTTTTATTGTAATTCGCTTTGTCTTTCAAATACACACACACACACGCGCACGCGAGTACTTGTGTTTCTTTCACTTTTTATTACCCATCCACCTTTGTTCCTACAAAAAGAGCTTGTTGTATTTTTCGCCAGCGTTTGTCGGCGAGGCAGTGAAATCAGTTGTTGCGTTGTTGCAGTGTGCAGCGCGGTCAGCGTTTAGCGGTTGTTGCTTTGGCTGTTGCTACGCCTGCATTTCGGAAAATACCAGCACGTCCGACCGCAGAAAATGCCGCAAGCTAAGCCCGAAGATAATTTTGTTCCACAAATACAAATGTGTTTGCATGAAGACAAAGGTGTTGCGAAGTAAAAAGTGTTCGAAACAAAGCCGGCATTTTCCCCCGCCTCCACCTTCCACCTTCGGGATCATTATTTTGTCTTAACACAGGTAAATTTTTTACCGAATCTAGATGCATGCCTCGTTCCTCTTTCCGCTCCTTGTTTTGAATGCTCTTGTGCATTGCATTTCTTGGATTGTGTGCCTGCTTTGATATTTGACAAATTTTTAAGGTTTTATTGACCCGAAAGGCTGCCAATATGAGCGAGTGTGCATTTCGTGTTTTCGTTTCTTCTGCAAGTTTTGATTTATTTGATTGGGTTATAAGAGCAGTGGCGTTAGACAAAGATTCAATAATTGATATTAAGAGAGAAGTATTGGGAAATAGATTCAAACAAAGTTGAGGAATATTACCATCGATTACCTGTTTAATATATTTTTAACTTATGGCAAAAGCAAAAGTTTGTACATATGTATGTACTCGTATATACATTTCTCAGCAGCGGTTTAAGATCTAGCAGAAAAATTCGTTTAACTAAAAGTCATCAAACGGTTTTAAACAAGAATACTATTAAACTATGAATACTTGTATCTTATTTAATTAATTAAAAGAGTTTCCAATCATATTAATAGTAAAATGTTGAATAGGAGAGCAGTTATCGCATTTGACAGAGACAAAGCTTAGACTTTAAGATTATATCTTGTAATTTCACTTTTTTTCAATTTTTAGTGCAAACTTATCGATAAGAAAACGCACCTAAAAAACGCCGACGTCTAAGAATTGCGCATGGGCGGCTTCATTACAGCCTTGTGTTGGATATAATGCGGTCCATCTTCGTATTGACTCAGCGCTTGGTCGACTGCTTCGAACTATATACACTCAAAGTTACAATGTCGCGCCGCTTACAACGATCGAAAACCCGGTAGTGAGTCAGTGAATTGGTCGACAGTTCGGTGGTCGGCAGCCTTCGACTGCAGGCGGTTGACATCAAGTAGCTCTCGTTGCTACTGACGTCTTGCTCGTTCGGTCGATCTTACCATGTTGGTATATTTTCGCATTTTTATTTGCCGATTTTGTTTTTATTTGTTTGTGCCATTTTGATGTTATTAGAAGACAGGCACACAGACAACGGTTCGTTGTTTGTTGTTGTCGGTACTGTCATCGGCCATATGCAGCTGTTTGTTATTTGTTATCGCACGACTGGAAACTGCTCGGCGTTTTTTGGCTTTTATGGTTTGCCAAGCTTGTTCGTGCGCAACGAAACTGGGTCTGTTGTGATGAAATGTGGACAATTTGTTGCCATTGCTGACGTATTATCAGAAATTGTTATATTTTCAACTTGGCTACTTATGACTGTTGGAAATTTCGCACAGATGTGTTCGTTTGTTCGCAAGCTATGCTAAGTCACAGAATGGCTTGCTAGCCACTAGACGACAGGTACATAACTGCAGAGAAACACAATGCGGCAATGTGAGTAATCACAGTCTGCCGGCGGGTTCTTTGGCAAACCAGTCAGCTGAGCACTTACAGTGCAGTCAAGAGGCCGATCGAGCCATCACTCAACTTGTCGGGATCTACAAAAACGTTAAATATATTTGATATATTTTAAAATCAAATAAATAACAGTTACACCAGTTACTTAAGCAAGTTTCTTAGAAGCTGCGGTTTGTTGACGATTTATGCGAAATGACCGGTGTTTTAGACTGACTTCAATATTTTCCAACTATCTATAAAGGACATAATAGAAATGGGATGATTCAATTCGTTAAAGTTGTTTGTGAGGTATGAAATTTTAGAAGTTCGCCAATTCCTGCCCCCATCGTACAATTCATCAACCGATCCATTCTTTATAGGTATATTTTTATATCTCTTCCAGGGATATTTTTTAGTAATTTATAGGAATTTCAGTAGCTAGCGAGATTGGTGGTGGTTATTATCGATACCCATCGATGACATGAATCCAGGATTCTCGCGTACACTTCGAAGGGACAAAACGAAATATCTCCTATCATTAAACAAACAGTCGTCATTTACGCGACTTGGCTCGGACGTTACTGTTGACAGTCGTGGATAACTTCGTCTATTTTGGAACCAGCAACAATGTCAACTACGAAATCCAACGTAGAGTCACTCTCAATACAAGTCCCTCATTATTACCGTCTGCATCTGATATATCGGCCTTAGGAGTGTTCGAAGGAAAGATTTTGCAGAAGATTTACGGTTATTTGCACATTAGCAAAGGACGCCGCAGTCGACCGAGTGATGAGCTGTACGAGATATGCGGCGACAATAACAGTTCAACAACGGCTGCGCTGGCTACGCCGGTTTGTCCGAATAGAAAAGAAGACTACAGTTGTGTTGGTTTTCGATGCATAGGAAGAATAATACCTCCACTCTGTCGGGAAGATCAGATTGAGAAGGACCTGGCTGCTCCTGGCATCTCAAATTGACGCCAAATGGCGAAAAGAAGAAACGGCTGACGCGATGTTGTTAACTCGGATATAACAGAGTAATCGGTGTCTACGTAAAGAAAAAGAAGAAGTCTCATTAAAAGTTCTATCAAACTTATTCAATAAAATAATTTTTATCATATTTTCTTTATACCGATATATCAAGCTAGTACCAAGCTTCCAGACTTCTAAAATAGCTATTTAATAATTTACATTGATTGTTGATGGTGGTGGAAGAGGACTGCGGGTGATCCCAAGAACTTGGTACTAACTGTAAATCATGAGCTGTTCCGGCGACCTCTGGTGTTGGAGATAATATTATATTAAGGAAACATACCACCTAAAAGCCCTGTTTGGAATATATTTGAACTTGTCTAGAAAATTTTGGAGCCAAGCATTAGAAAAAACATACTTAAACCGCTATTATACTCCAAGAGTGCATATGTCAATTCAAGCTTGGAACACCAATACGTTTACATAGTTGGAAAATTTAGTAGAATCGACGACGCCCTCATAAGTTTATACAAGATTGTAGATGCCTACGGTGGCCAAACTTAATAATGAAAAGTAATAAAAACTAGAATTAAGTTAAGTCTTCGCTCAAAAATATGTATATTATATTTACACCCTATGTGAACTTTTGTCGAAGCAATTATTCACCTTTTCTTCCGTAAATTTGTTGTTTTATGTTAAAAAATTAGTTTTTTAGTTTCTTGTAATTAGAAAGAATATATGAATAAAACTGTATCAAAACTTTTCTTTTAAGATTATGTACTTTATGAACTATGAAAACAGGGGGTGTACTCATATGCAAGCTTTTGTCCACCACTATATACATACATATAGAAAATAGTTGTGTCTTTCCACTACACAAGATTACTTCTTAGTAGTAAATTCATCCTGTTTTTAAATAGATTTTAATAAACCCGGGGCATTTTACACAAATATCGAATGAAAACTTAAGCAAAAAACAAAATATTTTCCGCCTGGCCACCATTAAGTCCATTTGACAGCTGGGAACTGCGTCATTTCTTAAGGGTGTACAGTTCTGAAACATCAGCTCTCCAATCAGCTGGAGCGATATAATTGTAATTGTTTTGGTTGTTGCTGGTTGCCAATAATTGGAGCCGCTTATCAGCATTGTGCCTTGCACGAATGTCGGTGAGCACTTTTTTGGGGGCGTCATGAAGGCGTTCTAGCGTTTCATGTACGTCTACATATGTACATACATAAGTGTGGCTTGTTTGTTGTTGACGATACTTGACAAAATATGAGCATATGTGCCTTTGATATATAGTATTTCCAACCATAAAGTACACGCTCCCATATCCACTAACGTATGTACATATGTGTGTGTATGTAAGAAAAAATGTGTGTTTGTTCGCTTGTAGCTCTGCATTTACGTAGTTAGCAAATTGTTTCTATATTTTTATTATTTTTTCTTTCTCCTCAGCTTATGTACACCTTCGCTCCGCCGCTGAGCTTTGTTGTTGGCCGCCCCTTTCTCTTTTCTCACAACCGCTCTAATGTGTGTATTTTAAAAATAACAAGATCCAAGTGACTGCAGAGCTATGCGTCTAATGCTCGTCCAGGCGAACTATGGTATACACCACGAAGACGTACACACATACACATACCTACATATGTATAATGCAATCGAAGTGAGATCAGCTGAGCTGGGGAGCTGAGCGGATCGCTGACTGCCCAGCAAACGCCTGCTCAGTTGTTATTACAGCCTTGCATTCATATCAAGTGCCTAAGGCATGTCTCAAACTCCATGAACACTCGAGTTAACAGAGTTCTCTTATCGTCGAAACCAAATAAAACGACGAAAAACACTGCGGAAAAACAACATCATCGCTAAATTATCAACAAATAGCCAAGCTGCTCCCCAGCACCTACGTTTGTGGTAAGTTAAGCGTTGCGTTTGTTACTGCTACTTTAGCTAAGTAAAACGCTCTATCAAGCACAAGCTGTGGTGAGTTCGGCTCAACCTGGTGCTGCTTGCCCGCATTAAAGCTCAATCGGTGAACATCTTGTCTGGCCGTCGGTTCGTGCATTCGTCACCTTCGCTCGTTTTCGCCTGCTGCTGCTTCGCTTATTTTCATAAAGCCATACCAAACGATCCCATCTGCCGGGCCAACACTCAGTCCGCAATTCAGTATTTGATCAAAGTGCTCCGAGTCTGGTTGCGCTTTTGCTCACACGTTGTCATTGCGGTCGCTATTTACTGTTAAAGGGCTGTGGCATCCTTCGTGCGCGTTTAACGTCACTCATCGACGCCATCGTTATCTGTGCTGACCTCCGTTTACTCTGTACAGAGTCGTCTATCGTCTATTAAAAACTCGGAAACTCGCTTGTAGGCTAGTTAGTCTTCGTAGCGCTTGTGAATTAAAAAACGTAATTACTTAATACAAAAAACGCGACGCAGAAATTCGTTATAAAAAACCGACTATCGTGTCGCACAAAATCGGTCGAAACCCAACAACTGGGAAAGTTAATTGATAGTGAAAAGCCTGTAGCTTCGTGCAAAGCTTTGGAAAACTCATACGGGCATAATTGTGGCCAGCGAAAAGGTGTGTATGCTACGCCATTAATTGGTGAAATTAAAAAGCGATTTGATTCGTTTCAATTCACAACAGTTTTCCTCTAAGCTGCGAAATTAGGAGCAAAAAATTGAAAAGTGGAAACTTAGAACGAAATTTGCGTTTTTGTTTCCAAAAACAGGTTTTGAGCCAATTTGCGATAAAACTGCGTCAGCCGTGGCTAAAAACAGCTCGTACTGCCGAGTTTAATAAACAAAATATAACACACACACAAACATGGGCGAAAAGAAGTAAAATTCGCTGGAAGTTTTTGAAAAACCCCATAAATATAACAGCAATAGCAAAAGCAACAAGGTCTGTAAGATATTGTCGAAACAATGCAAAAAACCGTCAGCGCCGCGTTCACCCATTTCGCTCCGCTCGCAGCAAGAGCAATAAAGCGCTGTCAAAGCATCCGAAGAAACGTATTGGGCTCGTACGTAGTACATATTTACATAGCGCTCGTGTGTGTTTGTATGGATGTGCGTGTGTTTACGTGCTATATTTGCGGTTGAACACCTAATAAAACAAGGCATATTTGTGTTATTGCAAATAAACCCAACAACAACACGAATACCACTTAAAAGGTTACGAATTGAACAGTAACAGTAGGTCTAACAGTAATGGATATTTGATATTTAATTTGCGATTGTAAGCCTGTGCTGCACGAAAATCTCATTTATGAAAGCGCGATTAGTGGCTGTATACACATACATATTTACATATCCCTATATGTATGTACTTATGTATGTGCTCACCTGTACGTTCAAAGAAAGGCTTTCATTGGGCAACGCTTTGTGAAAGACTTCCATTTTCTGAAATAATTGTTTTTTTGTTTTTAAATAATTTTAATTTGCGATTTAAGTGATTTAAGTGAAGAGAAAATCACAGCGATTGCAAAAATAAGTCAGAAGTTGCCAGATGTGAGCAGTCAAGAATATTCCAGCATTACTATTAGTTTTTGAAATGTTTAAAGTAAGAGATTTGTGTGAGTGTTTTACTATAGCATTATATATTTGAGCGGTTCACATTCCTAATTTCAATTAAGAACTGTTCCGTCAACAGATGGAACCGTCGAAGACACTATATTATAACGATGTGCTGAATTGATTTAGTCACGTCCGTCTGTCTATATATCCGCGAAATACTTTTTGAGATCTCGATCGGAAATTTCGCACATGTCCTTTTCTTCCCAAGAAGCTGCTCATCGGACCAATATAACATATATGTAGCTGCCATACAAACTGAACTATCAGCAACAAGTTCTTGTATTGAAACTTCTTTGTTTCATAGGGTATTTTAGTTTCGTTTTTTCCTGCTTAGTTCTTCTGCATGCATAGTTTATTACAAGAGATTACACGGTATACCGACAAAAAGGACGCTTTGCTCTTCCCGATGAAATGATGTTGGTAAACGAAATTTTTATTTAGATCAGAATTAAGAAGATCATTTAACTGTAGCAATCAGTAAATCCGCTTTCAAGCCATGACCCGCTCGTATCCGAGGCTATTTTGTATATGTAAAAGAAATTGAAATGAAGTTCAATGTTTGCTCATTAGATGATGGTTACTGACCAATTCTCTGTCGACGGATCCTCGAAGTAAAGACTTCACAAAATCGTTGAAAACACTAATTTTTTGAAAAAACGTAGACCCTCACAAGTTGTTCTAGCTTCAGTTCTAAGTACATATCAGTTTTCTTGCCTATAAATGCCCATCTGCAAAAATTCCTACGAACGCCCTTTAACAAAAAATTAAAATCTGTATAATGGTCGTCAGATAAGAGCTGACTTTTGTTTCATTATATGATTTTAACTATGTTCGGTATTTGATTTTTAACTATTCACTATAACCAATATAGAAGCAGTGAGCTTTATTTCCACAGCGCAAATCTTCTTCATAGATCACTTACAGATTTTAAAACATCCCCGGGCCTTGACTCCGTCATTTTTATATCGTGGTTGATGGACGGAGTTAATAAAAAAATTGTTGTCTTCCAAAAACAATCCATTAAATCCTTAAATTTTATAATTTTTCTGAGATCGTTATAGTTGTATACACGGAAATATTTTCATGAGTTTCCACTCTCTATCGATATGGGGGCTCTGTGGTGGTCTTATGCACCACATTTCCTCCATTTTTGTATTTTTAGTGGAACCGAAGTTCAATTTTCTTTGGGCAAATGTGTATGGCAATTAAGTCCGGTAACGCTGTAATTTAACAAGTGAGCAAACCGAATGATTACTACAATAGTTATAGCTGCCGATGCTAGCGGAGGTATACGCTCATGGTCCGCCGCTATTGCTGTCCAGTTATTTGTTGTTACTGTATTGCTAGCATTATTGTTGTTTTTGTACGTACAAGTACTAGTTAGATGAGTCGGTCGGTCGGTTGGTTGGTTTGCTGGCTCGTTGGTGAGCTGCTGAGCTGCTGAGCTGCGTCTGTTCGATCGGCTGAGAGTAGTTAATTTTCTTTACCTTTTGTTATTTATTATTTTGTTCATTTATTACTTTTTGTCGACTTTGCTTTCGGGCTATGCATTCATGGTGGCTTCTATATATTTATGTACGTTTATGACAGCATGTGGAAAAGAGCTCTCTCCGCTGTCGATGGTGGATTATATGAGCAGCGCTAGATGCCAGTCATCAGTTGGAGCTCAGCTTGGAATACAGTCACTGTCGTATGTCATCGGTCGTTCGCTTATGTCGTTTATTATTTGTAGGTTTAGTTGAGTTTTAGTTCGCGACCATACGTGTGGTGAGTAAGACGTGTTCGTGCACTCCATCGTCGGCTTGAACCTGTAATTCGCGCTATGCTTAATGCATTGAGCATTGTGTTTTACTGTTTTTATATTGTGTATTTTTCTGTTATTGTTGTTGCGTGAATCAAATGTCTGCAAGATCACTACGGTGAGAATTGTTTTTGCTGCGACGAGGGTGGTGTCTGCCTCAAGTGCATAGAGAAGGTGATTTCAAACTCATCTTTTAACCAAAAACTGACTTTTTAGTTTAGTTTTTAAAGCCAATATTCATTTTACTGGTGTCTACTCTGTGGAAAATATGTATGTATGTATGTAACCAACCACATTGTGAAAAAGAAAAGGCCAACTTGTCGTAAATGGCTGTGAAAATTGTGTAACAATAGAAAAGCTGCGTGCGTACTAACAAACATACATATGTATACATACATATGTACAAAGAAATATGTTTTGTGTGAAGCCGAATGCACATTTTGTTGCCTAAAACATCAGAACAGATTGCTATTTGCAGTGTGGTGAGTGCATGTGTGTCCATTACTGTGCACATACATACATAAATACATACATACATGCATACGTACATTTGTTGCTATTATATGCGCTCAACAAGACCGTGAAACTCAGCTTCGTTCATCGCAACTGCCATAAAAGCCAAATTCCATCTGTTGCTATTTTTGTTTTTGCAAATGACCACCTGTTGCTAAATCTACGACTGCGACACGCATAGACCTCTACATGCATACAAAATTATGCTTGCACTACACACATACAACAATATGTACATATGTATAGGCGTGTTCTACGAGCGTCTCAGGCTTCCACATAAAATTGGCTGCCTAACTGAAGGAAATGGTTACCTGCTCTCAGCCGATCGACGAGCAAATGCCAGACATTTTTTTTCCTAAACTCCTCATCGATATGTATGTATGTATATATATGTGCATGCACAGCAACTACAACTACAAAACCTATAAACAGGCAACCATTGAAAAGTATGTATGGCTTGAAAATATACGAAGAAAGTCACAAAAACAAATCTATAACAAATACAGACCGACCGACCGACCCATAGAGAAATATAAAATGACTAACCAGCGAAGAAAATGCCGAAGCGTTTAAAAAAGTAAAAATAAAAGTATGGAAAATAAAAACAGCTGCTCGCTCACTCCCCTATTATTACAGCAGCCAACATATTTTGTCGTTGTCGTAACGGCTTTGCTGCTGGAAGGTTAGAGAAGTTGGAAGGCGGCGAGCGTGGTGAATTTTAACCTGAAAATCCTGTTACCGCTAATTGAGTGGCCAGCTTCCGCTCTGACTCGCCATCGCTGGTGGACAGGTCTAAGTGACGATTCATTAAAAATATTGGAAATGCCTACTTGCTCGTTCATACAGAAAAAATCTATATACGTATGTATTAAGTATGTAGTATATATGCAAGTACATTCATAAGCATGCATAGACAAGTATATAGAAATGTATGCAATGTATTTTTCTAGAACAAGTTTAGTGGTTTTATAGCCTCTTCATATACATTAGTGGTCACTTCGAGTCGGTCATTTCATTTACTACCTCATCTCTTATTTGAATTTCCTCAATTTATATGCACGCACAGTGCGAACGGAATTCAGTTACTGTTAGAATAATAATTTGGCTTTCCAATGGGGTATTGACTTCAGCTGGAGCCATGCTTTAATGTTGCCGTTTTGTTAAGCTATAAAAATCCAAGATTCCCGTCCACATAATAGTGAAGACTTTGTTGGTAATATTTTGTTTCCAGTAAGCTTCTTTGTTCAATTTCCTTAAACATTAATGCTAGGAGAACAATAGAGTTTAGATTGATTCAATCGTAACCCGTTTTAGGTTTTCCGTGAGAATTTATATTATGCCCAATGCATGGCAGGAAGTCTTGAAGAAGTAAAAGCCTTCCGTTAATGCACTAATCTATAGCTGATTTTTAAACCATAACACCCTTCACCAATAAAAAAGCTTGCCTTACACGAACTTGATTTTGATCGTTCAGTTTGTATGGAAGCTATAACCATTAGTGATGCGATCTCAAGAAGATCGTGAAGATATCTGATCAAATATTCGTCTTGAAAATTTTCTTCAGTTATTGTAGCGGTGTCTTAAAAATAATCTGTACCAAATTTCGTAAAAAAATTTCGTTCAGTTTGTCTGGCAGCAAAGTTTTCTTGGTGGCGTTTAAGACAAATGAGGAGATTGTGTTGTGGAGG